TATACCTTATTTTGTTATTTGTTGATAGCATATCCTCCATGTGTTTGTCATTATCAAAAAGGGGGAAATTGTTGGAATGCATGAGTTCAACCCTTTATGTGTTGTTAAGTGTTGACTCACACATTTTGATAATTGACAAACACAATTTATTCAAGTCAAGATCAAAGTGCTACATCGACAAACACGAAGACTTGAAGTGTCATTCCTTGAAGTATTCAAGAAGGTGCACAGGATTTTATTAGAGTCCGAAACGCGTTCAGAGCGCCTAACGGAGGCTCGGAGGAGTAGAAGATTTCCGAAGACCTTTTTATTTATTTGAGTCGTAGGAATATTTGTAAGGATGACAAAAAATATCTTCTCTCCAAAATTATTTTTTTGAGAGTTAAAATAAAAATTATATTTATTTTTGGAGTCAGTTGAAAAATCCTTTTAACTGTTCAAAATATATTTATTGAGTCAGTTACAAAAGGTGTGTCAAACATTTATCAAATATTTATTTTGATATTATAAAATATTTTTGGTAAGCAAAAATATTTTATTCAAATAAGAGGAGGAGCCTTCTCTGATTCCCGTTGTCTCAAACAACAAGTATTAGGCCAATTCGCTCTCAATCGCAACTGGCCTTGGGCCCTTTGTGTTTGCGCATTATTTCCTTATTAATCGTTTAATCTTCCAAAATTAATCGATTAACTGCTTATCGTTGGATTACCCTGGGCTGGAACATTAATCGATTTTTGCTCCTCTGTTAAATCGATTAAGGCTGGCAGAGCCGACTAATCAATTTTTTATCTTCCTTTAATCAATTTTTTATGATGCATTAATTCTTTTCTTAGACCAACGGATATATTTCTTCAACTCCTTTTTAAACACACTTCCTTGGTCATTTTTAATAACAAGAAACACTCTAATACTCCTCATTCTTGAGGTGTAAATCCTCCATCAATCTTTCCTCAAATTTATATCATTTTGAGAGAAAACTATTTGTTTTTAATAGAGGTTTTTTTTGTCATCCATTAGAGCTTTAATCATTTCTCATTTCTACTCTTTTGAGAGCTATTGTTGAAAGGTTGAAGAAGATTGTTCTTCTTGTTGTTCAAGACTTATGTGACTTAAGTCTTGGTTGTGGAGTCTTGTAGAGGGCACATCGACGAGCGGTTGTGTTGAGGCTTGTGGGATTCATGTTCTCGAGTTGTAAACGGTTTGTTAAGCACCCGTAAGCTTAACGGAAGTAGTGGTAGCTTTGAGTAAGTCTCTCGGGGAACTGGACTAGCCACGAGGTGGTGAACCAGTATACATCGGTGTGTTCTTTGCCTTCTCTCTTTTATTTCCGCTGCACTTACATTTATATTATTAATCCTACGAAAAACGGTAAACATTCTCAACAACTCTATTTACCCCCCCTCTAGAGTTGCACGCCTTGTCTAACACATAATAGTCTTAAAGTAGAAAAAATAATGTACATAATTTGGTAGTTTAAATATATTAATTTTAGGATTTGATTTAATGACTATAAAACTCATTGTTTATAAGTTTTAGACGATTTATGATCTAAATTTAAAAAGATATTATTCTTAATTATCTGTTAGCAAATGATACTTAAATTAAAATATGAAATAAAACAAAATGTGTCACCATACAATACTATGTTTTCAATAACATTATTTATGATTTTAACATCATCAAATAAATTTAAATGGTTAATATAGATCTTCTTTTTAATTAGAATGTTCTTTTTAATTTTATATTTTTTTCCATTTCATTTATAATAAAACATTCAATGAATGAATAAGATTTCTTTCGTTAAAAAAAGATACTCTCTTCGTCTCCAAATAAATTTTATATTTGTTTATGAATTGATACGCTTTTTAAATGAAGTTAGTTTTTCTTTTACTTATTTAAATATTGATGCAAAAAAATAAAATACTCCAATATATTTAAATCTCTAAATTAATATTCTATAAAACAAAATACACATAGACTATTGTTTTAATGAATAACTATTTAAATAAAAAATATAAAAATAATGTTTTCACGGGCTTGACTCATTACTTATTCAAACATAAAAGAAAAAATGAATAAAAAGTTTCCAAATGTATTTACAAAATTTCATTCTGAATGATATGATTACAAATATTTATTTTATTCTTTTTTGTTTAAATTAATGCATTGGAGAAGAATCATTGAATTTTTAATATTTTTTAAATTTAATTTTTTTGGAATCATAGAGTAACTAATGCAAACTAATCCAAGATTTAATTTTTTGAATTATGCGGTAAAGAGGAAGCATATTTTACTCGATACGAAGAAGAAGATCAAAATCATAATAATGTGGGGGAGATAAATTGATTTTTTTTGCTTATCTATATTAATGTGGGAAGAAGAGTCATATTTCTTTAATCATAAATTCATAGGGCCGGTAATCCATGTTGTTTTGAATTTATATGGGGAGAAGAATCATAGATTACTAATGTCTTTTTCATTAATATCTTTTAAATTAATGCGGGGAATAAGAATAATAGGTTTGTAAAATTGGTAAATTTAGATCGTTATATTTGAAGTGTAAGTGGTATACACTATAGAAACAAATTCAGAGAAAAAGTTTGAATACCCTAAATGAAGTTAATACCATTTGATTGTTGAAGTTTTAAAGAAGATAATATCTTAGAATTTATATTTCGCTATGACTATTAATGAAAGCCAAACACAAACATTGTGTTATTGAGAGGAGTATTATCAATTATGTTATTGAAAAACATTTTGTCAAATACTTAGATTGTGTAATGGTACAAAGTTAATCGTTGAAAGAGTTGTGAAAAAGTTTTTGGTGCAACTTTGTATCCGCAAACAAAGTCAGAGAGAAAGCCTACATACCCTAAGGCAGTGTAAGTGGTATACACTATAGAAACAAATTCGGTAAGAAAGTATGCATGCCCGAAATGAAATTGGTATCATTTGATCGTTGAAGTTTCAAAGAAGATAATTTTTTAAAATTTATGTTTTACTATGACTATTAAGGACAATTAAACTCAAATATTTTGTTATTGAAAGGAGTATTATCAATTATGTTATTGAAAAATATTTATAAACCACCTAGATTGTGTAATGGTACAAAGTTAATCGTTTGAAGAGTTGTGAAAAAGGTTTTCGGTGCAATTTTTGTATCCGCAAACAAAGTCAGAGGGAAAGTCTACATACTCTAAGGTAGTGTTTGAGAACTAACATTTCATTCCAACTCTTTCATTTTAATTCTAAAATTCGAATTCATGAATTTAAATAACAAGAGAATGTATATAGATTAATAATTGAGCTTTGTTAATTGTTATGAATTAGAAGAAATAGTCTAAAATAAAATATAGAATTTTAACATTCACAAACATTAAATTTGACCCAAATACAAATTTGAAATCTAAATTCACGTTTCCAAACATGTCAGAATTTAGTATTATTTGATCGAGGATTATCGTTGAAGTTTCAAAGAAGATAATTTCTGACAGTTTATGTATCACTATGACTACTTATGAAAATCAAATCCAAGCATTATCATTAGTTAGATAATTTATTAACAATTCGGCATTCATTAATGGTTAACTTTGTGAGAAAAAGACTAAAATAGGAGTAGAATATTAAAAATATACCAAAATAAGACTTTTATGTTTTTATTCTCGAAATAGACATTAAAATACATTTATAGTGTTAATCATGATCATGTATATTACCAAAAAAATTACTCCCTCCGTCCCCAATTAGATTACAATATTCCCTCTTATTTTTGTCCCAAAAAGGATTACAAAGTGTTTACTTTTACACTAAATGGACTCTTTTACCCTCCCTCCCCTTTATCATTTCAATGTCAAATCTCACCCACCCACCCATTCCTATACTATTTGGGGGGTAATTTGGGGAAAAAATACTGATTTAACTCTTCCTTAATTTTGTCTAAAAGAGAATATTGTAATCTAAAAGGGGACGGAGGGAGTATGAAATATCTATATACAGTGTGACATTATCGCAGTGCAAACTCCTATTTTAGAGATAAAAAACATGAGGTTCCTATTTTGGTACTTTTTCTACGTTTTACTCCTATTTAGGGTGATTTATTTAACTTTATATTGCTTTTTCGTGAATGAAATTATAAAAGTATGATTAAAGTCCCTGGAATATTACTTTTAGATGTCACTCGTAGTCCTTGCAACTTCACAAAACAATTATATATCTCAAAATATTTCAAATATTTCAAATTTAAATAAGACTTTGACATTTTTATTTTCGAATTAACATAGTAGAATTTTTATTAGCAAATATAGTATGTTATATCATTCCTTTAATTTTTAATATCTATGTTTTCATTCTTTTATTTGATTTTTTAATAATGCGTTAGTAAAGAAAATTTGAAGAATAAAAAAAGTATTTCATTCCATCCCGTGCATTGCACGGGTTGAAATACTAGTTCATCAAAAGAATATTGATATTTGTTTAAGAGAGGTGAGTTAATTGAACCATTATGCATGAACTAAAACAATTTTTCAAAATTATATTGGCTAGATAATTAATAATAAAGTGAATATTTTTGTTGAATATGGGCGGGCCAGTTGGCCCGAATGGGCTAAAAGTAACTTCCAGATCTGCCCAAATACAATTCGGGCTCGGCCCGCCCATGTGGGTATTAAAGGTTGTCCATATCCACCCTTTTAAAGGCGGGCTGGGCGGGCCGGACAGGGAGACCCTTGTTTGCACAGGTCTAATTTCTGCAAGCCAAGAAGCTTCTACTATACACAATTTTACACAAAATTTTGATTGTCCAACAAAAAATAAATTTTAACAAATCAGCAGAGTAAAACATAGAAAAAGTAACAAAATAGACCCTCCATATTTTTATCACCAAAATAGAAACTTGCATTGTAATAATATGACATTATATATCGACATTTCAAAATACTTTTTGGTAATTTTTATTGTCATGATTAACACTGTATATGCATTTTAACTCATATCTCGGGAATAAAAACATAGAACTTTGATTTTGATATATTTTCAATATTTTACTTTAGTCTTTTTCTCATAAATTTTCAAGTAACCTTTTTTTTAAATAAGAAGATCGTAGTAATCCCTAATATTGAGGGTTTAACAAAAATAACATGGTTAATATTATGAAAGATAAGTCAATGGGGATCCAGCAAAAATCACTGCAGACCACTTGCTTGCTACACATTCAATCAACTGGGACACAGTCTTGAAACAGTCATCTCCATGACAGGTTATTATAAGTAAAGTTGTATGAGCTCATCGCTTACTGCAGATGGTGTGAGGACACCTAAATCTGTGAAAAGAAGGGTGAGATACTGAGGTGGCGTATAATCCCGAGCCGACGTTTCAACTTCAACCTTTGATGGAATGGGCACACCAAAGTCAATTGGGCGCAAAGCTGGAGCCATGTCTTTCTGATCCAGCGGATATAGACGAGCAAACTGCAACAAAAAGTGCCTCAATCTCAAATTTGCAATACAAAACAGTCCCAATAGTTGTAAGACTTAGGCTCCATTTGGACTACTGACTATTAGGAGAAGTTAAGAAGGGTAAGTAAGAGTAGATACTCTTTCCTACCCTTGTTTGGGAGATCTTTTTTTTTTTTGCATTGAAGGGTGAGGAGAAACACTTATTCCCCTCTACACCAATTCACTCTCCATTTTTTAACACTCCAAAATGGAGTGTAAGGAAGAGTAAGATGTACACTTCCAAACAAGGTTTCTTCATTTACTCTTTGTTACCCTTACTCTTATTTATTCTTACCCTTCGAACACTGGTTCAAATTCAAAACAATTATTCTTTTTTTTTATGTCTGTTAATCATATTTCCTTTGCATTTCCTGTAGTAAAACCAAACACAGAAAAACTAACTTTCCTTGGCATCAGTTTTTTCCTTTACCTGGCCTTTTTCAGAATCCAAACATACCCTAAAGAAAAAGTGTGTTGTTCTGTGTGTACCTTATAGCTCTCAGCAGCAACATAAACTGGTTTGTTCATGCTCTTGGCTACTAAAGCAATCTGATAGGTTCCCATCAAGTTAATTATACCTCCACTTTCAACCACTCCATCTGCCCCTACAAACACCATATCAACCTCATCCATGCTATATGCCACTGCAGAGTCTATCAAGAGCTTTACAGGAACTTCAAGCTTGGCTAGCTCATTTGCTAATCTTAATCCAGTCCGATCAGGTCTCCCCTCTGCGCATTTTAGATCATGTAAACTACACATCTCAAGCGATATGAACATTTCAGCTCAAACTAAACCACAAACATAGAGTTATGTTTTTAACTCCATTACCGGACAAGACAATCCTCAACTCCTCATGTTGTTTAGTTTAAGAGCATATTTTCCAACACAAAACAGAAATACAAGGGCACATTCAGCATTGCTACCAGAATTTATCTTTTTATGGTTTTTCAAGTTATACGATAAATGTTATATGATGAACCAAAAAGTACTTTGTACTGATCACATTAGACAACTAAAATCTAAAGCCCATTTTTCCCAGGTTTTTATTATTTTATTTTTAGTTTCAGAAAATAGAAAAAGAAAACGATAACGAGCATGCCCTAAAGGAACCAACTCTTTTACTCTCACCCCACTTCCCCTTTCTCCTCTGGATTCGTACTTTGCAAATATTATATTTAGTTCAGTAAGTATTGGAGAATCCTGATACTCACCAGTGCATAGAACTCGAAAACGCTTGCTATTTTGTGCTGCTGTTTTCAATACCTCAAACACAACTCTGGAAAAGCCATGCACCAAAATGGTACATCCATCGAAAATAAAATCTTGACTAAGCACAGCGATTATCTTCCGAGCCTGCATTAGAAACGCAGTTTTCATGCACTAGCACTTCGGATAAACATACTTCACTTGGTTGATATTCACTATGTGCACCTTATAGGATATCTCTCCAAATTTCTCTGCACGCTCAAGAAGACGAGTTTTAGCTGAATTGAAGTCTTCATATTCCAAGGCTGAAGTCCTTGTGACATAGCGCATAAACAGATCACAGCCCGCCATCAACGAAATGGATGTCGTGTCCCATGACTGGATTAACAACACATATATAGGGAACACATTAGCTAGTTTGTAACATTCTATAACCGAAGAATTTGTTGGTTCAATCAATCATCTGAGAAAAACTCTATATAAAAATAATTGTTGCTACAAACTGAATCATCAAAATAAGCAGTGGAACTATTGTTCAAACTTTCCACATAACTGCATTCATCAATCAAATCACAGACCCAGCTAGTGAGATTAATCCTCTCTTATAAGAGCATAAATACATCCCTGTCACGAGGTATTAACTCTAAATTGTACTGTTCTGTGTAAAACTATTGCTTCAACTACTGAATCAGATTCCAAAGTTTGTCATATGTTCCACAATTTCATCCTGATTTTTAAAAAAGTAAGTAATTCTATTAGGAAACGAAAATCGCCATACCTTTAAAGAATCGGAGGCCTTCTTCAGCTCAATTTCAAGCTCCATCATCGTAGTAGCTTCACTAGACCGAATAACGGATGCCAATGCCCTAATCGCCGCCACAGCCTCAGCCAAGTTTGGCTGTTTACGCCAATTATTAAACTCATCAACCACGCTAAAAGTGTTCCCGGACTCGCCGGAATTATTCAACGAGCTCTTGGTAAACACATCGTCCCGGTCACCGTCGACGGCGTCTCGAGCCTGAGCGAGCCAGTCGCTGGTGACGACCCCGTGGTGAGCTGCTCTGGTCTGGTAATAAGCCGAGATGTTATTGGGATTCAGGTTATTGCTATGTAGGGTTTCCGCCATGGAGGATGCGGCGGCGGCGGCGGGTGCTAGATGTGAAGTTTGGCGGCTCTCAAGCCTCGCGACGTCGTCGTTCTGCTGCTTGTCGAGGATGAAGGAAGCCGATCTATACCACATTTATTATGATTTACGAGGGATGGATTAAACTTGTGAACGACAAATCTCCGGCGAGGTTTTGAAGATTCCGGCCTAACGTAACACTTTGCACGTGTTCTCAAGATGTTTAAGTAGTTTCCTCCTTTCATGAATTTTATTTTTTTTTTGTAAAAATTTAGAATGATTAATAGGGAGTAATTTATTTTTTTAAAACAAATAAAGACCTAAAGTGTGATTTGCTAAAAAAAATAAAATAAAAGAGTAATTTTTAATAAGATTATAATTGCTGCATAATAAAGAATATAGAAGTGAAAGATTAAAACCTAGTAAGAAATGACAAAAAAGAGTAATTAATTTTATCTCATACAAATATTAAAAATACAAACCCATAAATTTAGTTGTTAAGTAGAGGGTATTTTAATACTTTTCATCATTTAAACTTATAAATTTTTGAAATAGTACTTTCTATTTAAGTGTTTTTCTAGATTTTATTTCTAATTAGTTACTCTCTCAGTTTTATTTCTTAATCTTTTATATATTAAAAAGGAAAGTTGAGCTTCTAGAATTACGACACTTGGCATGCTGACTAAACAATTTTTTTAACACCTCCTCATCCATGTCAGCAAGAGCATTGAATGGAAGTTTCCTTATTAAAGTTCTTAATATACATAATTACTTTATTATTTTAGAAATAAAATTATATATTAAATTTTAAATGAGGAAAACTTTGGCAAAAATTATATATTAAATTTTATAAATGTTATGTACTTTGTCTTTTTAAAAGAAAATTAGTATTAAAATTTGTGAGAAATATATTATCTTTATTTCAAAAAAATATTGTATTGAAAAAATTTCAGAATCAAATTTTTTTTTTGTTCAACCCCGTGGATGGCATGGGTGTAAATTACCTAACCGGGTAAACTACTCTAGACCGGGTCTAGAATCGTTTACTTGATTCGATAAAGTAAAAAAGGTAAAAACGCACAAATATGACGAGGAGGACTTTAGGTGGAAACATCTGTAGCCCAATTAATATTATATGAGAGAATGCACTGATGCTTTTACAAGGGAGTTTAGAGAGAATGAATTCGGATCCCTCCTTCTAAGGATTACAACAGTATTTATGCTAAGTTTGAGGGGGACAAGACGTCATGCACCCACATGGAGGCACGTTCTCACATGGTGGGAGGTGATGGCCTTCGTCCTCTTGCTGCCTTGTCACCTTCTGAGGGAGATTGCTCTCTTGTCGCGTACTGGCTTGGACAGATTCCTTTAGCATCTCCATTGATCTTCCAGCGATACTAGGAAACATACCGGGTAGTTTTTGAGGGTTGAGTCGATGGAAACTCATGGAGTGGATTAGGCGATGAAGCAATTTGACCGGTATACTTTTCTGGAGTATACCGGTCACCTTTTGACCGATTGAGTATCCTCCGGCTGATGATTAAAGGTCTCCCTTTTCTGTATTTTCAGATTGACCGGTCAACTATTTGGTCTTCTCCTTTGACCGGTCATGGGTGGAATACACCCATCAATAAGCCCTCCATTTCTCGGTCATGCAATCTGTCATGAGCGAGAAGTAAAAAATCTGAAATAGGACTTCAATTTCGAATTTTAGGTTTTTCCCGCCTGAATATTTTAGAATTTGAAAATTCAAACTCTGAATCTTGACACGTGTCAAACATTAGCCGCTGCAATGGTTACCCGTTGTTTCGCCTGCCAGCATCATCATTGCGCTGCCTGCTGTGGCGCAATCTCACGGAGCCACGTCGCCTATTTTGGCCTCCCTCCTCCTATATAAGGTTCTTCACCCCTCTTCACTCCTCACTTTTCGCACTTTGGCTTTCAGAGCTCCCACCGGTCAAGTCTCTCTCCCTCTCCTTTCAGCACTCCGAGTCAAGTAAGCCCTCCTTCCCTTCTCTAATTATTTTCCCGTTCATGTCTTCCCTAGATAGCCATAGGGTTTCGTCCTCAGAGGACTGCTCCTCTGAGGACTCCAACTCTTCTTCTTCGACAGGGCCTTCTTCTCCTGGTTTCATACCCGGTCAGGTCCCCAACTCTTATGTCTCTAAGCCGCAGCCTCTTCGGTCGACAATGAGCCGGCCCCCTGTGACCCCAACAATGAATCATGGGAGGAATGGGAAGAGCGGCTCCGAACTGCCAGTTATTTCCCACTCCCCACCTACTATTCCATTGATATCTCTTCCCACGTATCCAAAATTGCATTGAATAAAGTCCGTAGAAGGCTCCCGGATGGATATACCCATCTGTACGAACACGATTGGCCTAACATAGTTGAACCCCACCGGGGGGATAGGATAGGATTCCATATCGCATCCCTGGACGGGGGCATCGTTTTTCCCCTTCGCCCCATCCTGACTGAGGTCTGCCATGCGTTTAGGATTTTGCCCGGTCAATTAACTCCTAACGCTCATTGCTACTTGCACTCCTTTGTAAATATTTGCTCCCATCTTAAAATATATCCTTCTCTTCGTCTCTTCCTCTTCTATTTTGAAGTCCTACCGGGCGGGACCGGCTGTGAAGGTTTCGTATACTTCAAAGGCCGTACCGATAGGAAATTTATTTCTGACATCCCCGAAAGTAACCGGGGATGGAAGGGAAAATTTGTTTTCATTGAGTTTCCCCCGTTTGTCACTCCATTGGCCAGTCTGAAATGGAACGACCATCTTCTAAACCATGAGTATACCGTGCCGGCTTCCTCTCCTGATCTTGAAGCGAGTCTCGAGATCCTTCTTCGAGGCGACCCGTTAACCGGGAGGAAGTTGCACTACGGGAGCTGGGTCTGGAGGGTCGAATCGGGTGGTGAGGGTACCTCTCAGGCCCATGAAGCAGCGGGGCGTGGGGTACCCTCCCCGGGCAACACTGCAGAGGCTGAGGGCAACTCCCACCCAGGTATTTATGATTCAGTTCGTACACTTCTTTTCTTAACCGGTCACGTTTGCCATACTTAGTGATTTTTGCTGGTTTTCGCAGACATGGAGTTCGAGGAATTCACCATTCCTGATGACCAACCAGCGGGAGAGACCGGCGGTTCTCAAGGTGCTTCCGCCAAAACTTTCACGGTCCAACCAGAGACCGTGGAAATCCACGATGAGGAAGAGCCTGAAGATGACCGGTCCAAGGGGAAAGGCAAAGAGAAGGCCGGTCGCCGGACCAAGAAGGTGGCCACCACCCATCCCTCTTTCAGCAAGAAGAGGCAAAGAGCGGATCCTGACACGGCTTCCCAATCTGTTGAGGAAGACTTCATTAACCTCGGTTTGAGACTGAAAGAGGTAAGTTGAATTTGATTCCTAGTTATTTCGGTCCAATTTCTCCAACCTACATCATGCACAACACAACCAGTTAAAGTTTCATGAAGAATGAAGACCGAAATAACGAGGAATCAAATTCAACTTACCTCTTTCAGTCTCAGACCGAGGTTAATGAAGTATATACGAACAGTCCCAAAAATGTCAACAAAGCTACAGTAGCCCACATGGAATTGAGGCTGTTTGTCTCGCCACTTGATCCTGGTTTGATTCCCCATCCAATGTCGGTGTTTTGTCATTTTTCTCTCAATTCATGGCCGAATTTAAACTAAGAACATATTTCGTGTCCGCCAGTGACATGCCGAATAATCAACTGTGGCGTGATGGTCCAAGCTGCTCATCCATACCCCGAAGTCCGGTGTTCAAATCCCACCTCCAATCTTTTCATTTTTTAGATTTATTTCTTTCTTTTCTTCAAATCTCTTCCATTTATTTTTGTCCCAAACTTCCATGTTTATCTTCCGTTCTAGAAATTGTTCTCAATGCGTCCAAATGACATCAAAATACCTGCAAAGCATATAAAACCAAGCATAGGACCGCTCTACCAAAAGAAAACGGAAAATTGACATAAAATGTAAACATTAATTCAATTGGGACTCAAAACTCTTACAAAATAGGTCTAAAAAGTGTATAAAATACGTGTATATCAACTCTCCCACACTTAGGCTTTTGCTTGTCCTCAAGCAAAATAAACTACAAATACAATCTTTAAATTCGTATATACGGAGTATATACGAACAGTCCAAAAAATGTAAACAAAGCTACAGTAGCCCACATGGAATTGAGGCTGTTTGTCTCGCCACTTGATCCCGTGTTTGATTCCCCATCCAATGTCGGTGTTTTATCATTTTTCTCTCAATTCATGGTCGAATTTAAATTAAGAACATATTTCGTATCCGCCAGTGACATGCCGAATAATCAGCTGTGGCGCGATGGTCCAAGCTGCTCATCCATACCCTGAAGTCTAATGTTCGAATCCCAGCTTCAATCTTTTCATTTTTTTAGATTTATTTCTTTCTTTTCTTCAAATCTCTTCCATTCTTTTTGGTCCCAAACTTCCATGTTTATCTTCCGTTCTAGAAATTGTTCTCAATGCGTCCAAATGATCTCAAAATACCTGCAAAACATATAAAACCAAGCATAGGACCGCTCTACCAAAATAAAACGGAAAATTGACATAAAATGTAAACATTAAGGGTCCGTTTGGTATAAGGAATTGGTGGAATAGGAACTGAAATTTCATGGGATTCAATGGAAAAGAATTGAATTCTGTCAATTTGAATTCATTTTTTACAATATCAATTCCAAATCCATATAATTTTTGTGCTACCAAACACCATAATTGGAATTGAAGTCCCCAATTCCAATTCCATAATTTGAATTTCACGTACCAAACGGGGTGTAACACCCTAATCCGTCTAGGTTTACAACCCCTTCCGAACTAAAGTATTAACTTGGTAATCGTATAATTTAAAACATTTCAAATAACTTTATTCATCATAAATGAAATTCCAAACATAATTGTAGTAAATACGGAGTGTTTAATGCGGAAGCGATTTTTAAACATGGTTCATAATAACATAATCATTTATTTTCTCAATAAATCCACCACGACTGTCTCGCCCCTTCCGCTGCCAAGAACATGCCATTCACTCATTCTGTCTACCTGCGTGTAGCAAATAAAACATACTACACGCTCAGCGATGAAGCTGAGTAAGCATATCTAAAGCATCGAACATCCAAATAAATTGAATCTCAATTCATAATCAACCATTTGATAACATGCACACAATATATGATTCAAACATTCATGATATTCTCAATATTTTATTCCAAGTCATTCGATATTCAATATCTCAACCATGCTCTTAAATTATTCTTAATCTAAGGCCAAATCATTTTATAACAAGCTTTTAGCTATTCCTAGTCTAAGGCAACATTTCTAACCAGGCCCTTAAACTATAAATAGTTTAATGCAGAACACAAGAATCGATAATCCACCCTAT